TTCATCCACAAATATCTCCAATATTCCATCATTTAGACATAACAACGAATAACTAGGCTAAAAATCATATTAAGGTGTAGAATATCCCTATCTCAAGCTTAGAAGAGCACAGGAAGAGATGGAGGATCTTCAAAGATGTCGAAATCAAACTTCAATCGGATTAAAAGAAAGCTCTTGAGATGCACTATCTTTTTAACAAAGGCACATTGGTGTAGAGATCACTAGATCTAGGTGTAAAGGTAGAGAGAGAGAGAGAGAGAGAGAGAGAGAGTATCTTAGAGAGAGAGGGTCTCAACTTTACGTTTAAGGAAGAAAAGATCTGAAAAAGTGATGTAAAAAGTCATTTTTGCGATCTGATATACACAATCCGTTCGAGCGCAAGAGTTGACGCTCTAGCGTCAAACACATGTAACATGCCCGGGGGGTACCCATGCGCGTTAAACAGTTCGGACCCTCGATTTCTTTGATCTAGTCTCACTAATGCAATGTGAAACATAGATGAGAGTCCAGATATGGCAACTTTTAGAAAATTCATTTTATTGCAAAACCTTTGGCCAGAAATGGACTGCGTCATTAGATCTCAGAGTCGCCACCTAATATTTTTGGGAAATTAGGAAACCCATGACTCGTGTCAAGGCCACTGTTCGTCATAGCCAAAGTTGTCTTGATTCAGAATCTTAGGTATGAGAGGGGAATGTCATTAATTGAGTGCCCCCACTCACCCGATCAAAAGTTCTGCTTTTACTAAACCATGATATGAATTTTATTTATTTTATATGTTCATATTTGGATTATTTAATAAATCCTAAAATTACTGTGTGAAGCATACAAGTATAGACTATGTCATTTATTTTGGAATAATTTGATTTCATGTAGTTTTGAAACAGTTTTAGAGATGTACAACCCAAATAAATTGAGTTTACAAACATGAAAATCAATACTATTCCAAATTAAACGGCACAACCTCCATCCACTGGCATTCATACAGTTATATCAAGCAAGCCAGTAGCCACATGGTAGGATGTTTAAACATAATAAGAAAAGCGCACACAAATGGGATGCTAAAGCATAAAAACTTACATATTTACCAACATCCCTCGAACAACTACAAAACAAAGTTAGTAAAACATGCATGATCTTATATACAAAATCCTAATGCAATTCACTCATGAGATACAACTAAAGATTCAACTTCTAAGATATGACATGTGAATCATCTCAAGAACATGAGGTAGCGCACATAATCACATAGGAATTCATTAAATCCACAAATGCAAACTTGGCCGAATCAAGATGCATGAAACATAGATGCAAAGCATGGATATAACGACAATAAATAAATAAATAAATAAAATAAGATAAACATGATGCATATTTACAAATAAGGAAAGCAAGTAAAAGAATGGGATAGAAAGAAGTGGAGCGGGAAATTATTACAACACTTTGAATAAATTATTACAAACCAAATTAGAGGGGGGTGAGGAGAATATTACAACAAAATAAAAACCTCACAATACACTCAAAATAAAATAAACAAAAGAAGAAAAAAGTTTCATGTGCGTTGGAAATGATCGGAAGTTGGTTAACATCGGAAGACAACGCCGTCTTGTCCAAAAGAAGCTAACTGGCCGGCCAACTAGGCCTAGCAAAATCTGTCTTATTGCGAAACCAAGAAAATGATCAAACAAGAAATATGTAGGTGGCTTAACTAACCACTACCGGTTAGATTAAAAACAAGAAAACAAATATAAAATAAAAAAAGTGCAAACTTACAACAAAACTAACATGAACCTAAAACAAGAAAACAAATATAAGATAGAACATGCAAGATTACATCAAAACTAATATGAGATTAATACAAGAAAAATATAAGCTGGGAAATGCAAGATTACAACACAATTACTATGAAACTAAAATAAGAAAGCAGATATAAGATAGAACATGCAAGATTACAACAAAACTAACATGAACCTAAAGTAAAATAAAAAAAAGAAAAAAAGAAAATATGAGGTAGAACATGCAAGATTATAACAAAACTAATATGAGACTAATACAAGAAAAATATAAGCTAGGAAATGCAAGATTACAACACAATTACTATGAAACTAAAACAAGAAAGCAAATATAAGATAGAACATGCAAGATTACAACATGAACTTAAAACTAGAAAGCAAATATGAGGTAGAACAAGCAAGATTATATCAAAACTAATATGAAATTAAAGTAAGTGAATGAAAATAAATAAATAAATAATTATGAGCTAAACAAACCACTTAGATTACAACAACAAACTATGAAATATAAAGTAAGAAAATAAATATGAGATAAACAAACTATTTGGATTATAACAAAACACTATGAAATAAGAAGCAAGAAAATAAATATGAGATAGAAAATATAAGAAAATGAAAGACTAGAAATTCACCTTCCAAAGAAAGATTGAACTTCTTGATTTCCAAATTTCCTCTTGATCACCCTTAAGTTTAGGAAGTGTGTTATCAATCCTCAATTTGAAACTAGAATGGAACTCTAGGTATGTATGGTGGAAAAATGGCTAACTCTCTTATTTTTTCTTACTTTCAACAACACTCTCTCTTTCCTTTGATTTATTGTAAAACACCAAGATCTTTAACCTTGCTCTGATACCATGAAAGAATTTATGTATTATTGATTGATTTATATTGTTGTTCTGTATATTACAAGGATTTATATAGGAGAGGATTTGGGAGTAGGTGAAGATGGTAGTGGAGGTGGTAGGTGGAGTGTAGTAGGTGAGGGTGAATTGGTGGTAGGTGTAGTAGGTGTGGTAGTAGGTGGTGGTAGGTGTAGGTAAATTCTAACATTAATCACTACTGAAATTTAGCTAGTTCAGAATTTTTGGAGGAGTTTTGGGTGTAGGAAAGATGGAATTTCAGTTTGTATGGAAGGTATGGGGTGTATATGGAAGATAGGAGTATTTTTGACTCAAGAACTCAATTTTTCTTTCTTTTTTCACCATTTTCTCACTATTTTCTCTTTAATTACGTGGTCCTCTCTCTCTCTCTCTCTCTCTCTCTCTCTCTCTTACAATATAATCATTCTAAATAGGCAATGAGGGAGAGTAAAGTTCAAAAAGAAGATAGGAGAGAAGAAGGTGACATGAGGGCAAATTTTCAAGGTGGTTGCATAGGATACTCCTTTATGGATGAAAAGAAAACCTCTTTTTGACAATGGGGGATGATTAGGTATAATGGAGAATGAGTGGGTGCACTTGAATGGATCAAAAAATAGGTAAATGGGGTGTCCCAACCAAACCAAAATCAAGAAAAATGGGGCTGCTGCTGTTTTGGGCCGAGTCAACAAAATTTGCTATTAAGCACAATTTCAAACGGGCATATCTCCTTTATCCGGACTTGATTTTAGGTCATTCTTGGGTGTAAATTGAAGCCCCATAAGTCTACTTTCCAATTGTAGTGGCCTCACGTTTAAATTCCAAATATACAAATAGATATGCCTAATTTAGTAAAGGCTGTTCATTTCACTCGGGCCAGGTCAACAAAATCTGCTCCTAAGCCCAACTTCAAATGGGCATATCTCCCTCATTTGGACTTGGTTTTTTGAGTCTCAATTGAAGCCCCAAAAGTCTCCTTTCTAATGGTGGTGGCCTCATATTTAAAATCCAAGTGTACAAAGAGATATGCCTAATTTAGTGAAGGCTGTTCATTTTCTTTTTAACAATTTGATGCTCATCCTTTTCCTAAACTAGTTTTCTTCCATCCCCTCCGGTTTCCTTCAAATCCAAACTTATATAGAAGATGTTTTTAAATATATATATTTTTAAAGAGTTAACCTCCCTTCCATTTATTTCTACTTTGTCCTTACTTGGTTTATTGAAAAGGGCAATATTTTAATTGAATTGGGAGCCTCGGAACATCGTACAAACATTTGAAAAAATATTTTAAAAAGAGAGTTTTACGGTCTAAAACAGCTTAGCCAAAAATGTGTGAAGGTTAGGATTAAAACTTAAATTCCATTTTTCTTGTTGAGGACTGCTGGGGAACACATTCTGATTGTCATGGGAAAGCGTGCACACAAAAAAAATTACAATTCCTTTTCAATTACAATTTTAAATCTGAAGCTTATTTGAATATCCTCTTTCTATCCAAAGCCAAATCAAAGTAAAATAATTTCAAGGTGGATATGCTAGGGGCCTACGATGGAAATTACAATATTACCCAAACAAAAATATGTATGAATTCTAAATTTAACACTATATTTTTATTTTGAATATGAATGTTAATATGATTTTATTTGACTAAAATATATATAAGTTTGTCATGTTAACCATTTGAGCTGAACCCAAATGACTTTTAATCGAACGGAGTTTGAGCAACTTGGTATTTTATTGCCCTTTTAAGTTTATAGAACCAAGTTCGAACTGAACTCAAAAAATCGGCGAATTTCAAAATGTGTTCAATTTTAACTTATTTATATAATAAATCATTCTTCAATTGTTATTTATTGAGCCGAATATCAATCGAGTTCAAATAATTTGATTTGTTTTACCATATTAACTTAAATAGATATGCCAAGAAAATGAATATTAAATTAAATAAGAAATTATCAATATAAAAAATTATCAAGGCACTGTGGTGAATTTTTGAAATAAATTTTTTTTTTTTTTTTTCATAGGTCTAATGCTCAGATCTACAACATAATTTGCCTTATCTAAACAATAACAAATAAGTTTATGGAACACAAATTATTAAGGCACATAGAAAAATAATGATGAAAGCGGGAAGACAATGTGAAGAGCTGATAACAAAAAGGTGCTTAGTTAATAATTAAGCAAGACAATAAATATTTCAGATGAATACAGAGATATGCAATTATCAATTTGCTTTTCATTTCTGCTCATACATGATTAAGCATGCATTTGGAAACTGTTGCAATTATCAATTGTTGTTTATCCACAATTTTGTAACAGTCACTAACCTAAAGTGTTGTAAACTACTTTGCAGGTTGCTTTCCCAGTCTTGGAGGTTTTGACGATTCGTGAATTGCCTAACATAATAGAGGTATGGGACAAGCAATTACTTATAGCCTCAGAAAAAGAATCAAAGTCCTTCTGCCAACTGGAAGATATGGTGGTTCGTAATTGTGAGAAATTGGTACATGTGGTCCAGTTCAATATGCTCCCACGACTGCAAAATCTGGAAACAATCGACATAGATAATTGTCCAAAGTTGGAAGCGATAGTCTCGGAGAAAGAAAAAGAAGAAGGATCCACAAGTAATGACCTCATCGTGTTCTATCAATTAAGAACTCTTAAACTTTCAAGGTTGGTGAGCGTTAAAAGTTTCTACAACTGGCCTACAAGATCTGAAGCACAACCCTTGTTCAACCACCAGGTTTGATTTTCCTAATTTATTTTATTAAGCTTGGCCATGGGAAAGCGTGCACACAAAAAAAATTAAAATTCCTTTTCAATTACAATTTTAACTCTAAAGCTTATTTGAATATTCTCTTTCTATCCAAATCCAAATCAAAATAAAATAATTTCAAGGTGGATATGCTAGGGGCCTACGATGGAAATTACAATATTACCCAAACAAAAATATGTATGAATTCTAAATTTAACACTATATTTTTATTTGGAATATGAATGTTAATATGATTTTATTTGACTAAAATATATATAAGTTTGTCTTGTTTACCATTTGAGCTAAGCCCAAACGACTTTTAATCGAACGGAGTTTAAGCAACTTGGTATTTTATTGCCCTTTTAAATTTATAGAACTGAGTTCAAACTGAACTAAAAAAATCAGCGAATTTCAAAATGTGTTCAATTTTAACTTAATTATATAATAAATCATTCTTCAATTGTTATTTATTGAGCCGAATATCAATCGAGTTGTAACGCCCTCAAAAAAATAACATTAAACCCAACAATATAGACATGCATTGATATATAAAAGCTCCACATTCTTCTATTCATCAGAGTTCCATTACCAAAAAGTATTACATGTTAAAGACAAAAGCAAATGCCCTACGGGCTTACAGCTTTCCAAGTTAACACTTGGTTACAACAAAAGAGTACTAACTCATTTACACATTAAGCCCTTGGCTTGAATATACATGTAATACATCAAGAAACTAAACAACAAAAGTCTACCCGCCTCTAGCCTCCCAAGCTACGTCCTTGGAGGTGGCATGCTACCTGTACCTGAAAATGATATTCCCATATAGGGTGGGCCACAGCCCAGTAGAGATATGCTAAACACAGTATGAGCAATGACTAAGACATTAGCAATTGATAAATGTTCAATTTTCATAAACCAATTCATAATCCATTTCCATTTCTTATCAATTTCACAATTTCCATTAATGGCTCAGGACCTGGCCAACCACTTATATGAGACAAAGACTCATATTAAACATTTTCCATTTTTACAATAGATAAACACACAGGTTATATCAATATCTCAACAGATAAGCATACAAGCTATATCCATATTTCAACAGATATGCATATTAGCTATATCAACACTTCCCATGACAAGCATATGAGTTGTATCAACACTGCCAATGACAAGCATATAAGCTGTATCAACACATTATCTGACAAGCATATGAGCTGTATCAGTGGAGTCCATCCCCTATCTCCTCCCAAACAACATCCGGTTAGAGGTCCATCCCCTATCTTCCCCTAAACCGTGGAGTACATCCCCTATCTCCTCCCACACACACAATGCATATATACACAAAGGTCATTTACACAATCAATCAATACATAACGTTAATGTATTCCATCAACCGTCATACTCTTATGACATATCCAATTGCTTAGTTTTAGTTTGCCTAATCATCATGCATTGTCTACAACAATCAAACTACCCTCCACCGGTAGCCCAAGCTATTATTTCTAAACAGATAATAAAAAGCTCCAATAGATAAAATATCAATGTTTTCAAAAGCGAGCGATTTTTAAATCCAACTCCATCATTTCACAACATAATGAGCCAATTTCATTATTTCCAACACAATTCCATAAGTTCACAATTTTCCCAAATTAATTATGCCAATTAACTTATACCACAAATTAGGGTTTTCTACCCCCTTTCCCAATATTGACCCAATGGCCTAATATCAACAACCAACAACTATATCATCACTTTGGAACCCAGAAATACAAGTTATGAGCCCAAAATCACACAACCCTTTTTACACATTTTGAAACCCTAAGTCCCAAAATTTCCCAAGTTCAACATTCTATCAAAACAACTAAAAATCCAGGTCAAAGACCATAAGAGTGAGTAGGAATCCCTACCTCAAAAGATGACAACCAAAGAAGAAGACGATGAAAACGAACTTGCTCCAAACCACGAGTTTCTCGGATCAAAAGATAGCCCTCGACGATCAACAACTCTTTTGTAAAGGCCAAAGGTGAGGAAAACACCCTAGCTAGATCAATACCTAGAGAGAAGGTAGAGTTCTAGAGTGAGAAGCTGTAACGCTCTAAAAAAAAAACATTAAACCCATCAATATAGACATGTATTGGTAATAAAGATAAACATTCTCCTATTCATCATAATGGTTCTTTACAGAAGTATTACATGTTAATCAACAAAAGCAAATGCCCTACGGGCTTACAGCTTTCCAAGCTAACACTTAGTTACAACAAAAGAGTGCTAACTCATTTACACATTAAGCCCTTGGCTTGAATATATATGTAATACATCAAGAAGTAAAACAACAAAAGTCCGTCTGCCTCTAGCCTCCCAAGCTACGTCCTTGGAGGTGGCATGCTACTTGTACCTGAAAATGATATTCCCATATAGGGTGAGCCACAGCCCAGTAGAAACACACTAAACCAAATATGAACAATGACTAAAAGATTAGCAGTTGATAGAAGGCCAACACTGATACTTTCCTTTATCACACTTTACATTTTCATGACATATAAGTCCATATTACCATTCATTTTCCAATTCCTTTCAATTCTCAATTTACAACCATGGCTCAGAACCTGGCCAACAACTCATATGAGACAATAACTCATATCAAACACTTCCTATTTCATAACAGATAAGCATACTAGCTATATCACACAACAACAGATAAGCATACAAGCTATATCATCACTTCCACATATATACATATGAGCACTATCACACTTCCAATGACAAGCATATGAGCTCTGTCAATACGTCACTAGATAAGCATATGAGCTCTATCTACGGAGTTCATCCCCTATCTCCTCCCAACAACATCCGGTTTAGAGGTCCATCTCCTATCATCCCCTAAACCGTGGAGTACATCCCCTATCTCCTCCAACACAACACAATGCATATAAACAACAATTATACACATCATCATACAAGACATAAATTTAATGTATTCTTTCAATCGTCAATCTCAATGACACATTCCAGTGATTAGTTTCAGTTTGCCTAATCATCATGCATTGTCTACAACAATCACGACTATCCTCCACCGATAGCCCAAAGCAGTTATTTCTATACAGAAAATAAATGCAACAAATGGATATAAAATCGACATTTCCAACTAGGTGAGTGACATAAAATCCAACTACACCCTTTAATTCCATATATTTCCAATCTCAACATTTCCAATTCAATTCCTCATTTCTCACAATTAATTTTTTTTTACAAATTAATTAACCAATGTAATTAGGGCATTTTCCATAATTAACATTACAACCCTTAGGTTCCATTTTCATTAATGTTTTAACATTAATTCCACTTTTCCATGCCAAACATGCATCTAGGCTTTACATAGCCAAAACCCCAACTCTTGTAAATTTACACAAAAGCCCCCAAACTTTCACAAATTACTAAACCAACCCCAACATCTCAAAATACTAAAATTTAAAGGCAAAGTTCATAAAGGGGAGTAGGATATCCCTACCTCAAAGTTTGAGCTCTAATGGAGATGAAGACCAAAACCAAAATGCTTCAAATTCTGAAATTTTCAGATTAAAATGTAGCCCTTGACGATCAACAACTTTTTTGTAAAGGCCCAAGATGAGCAAATCACTCCTACTAGATCAAATCTAAGAGAGAAGGGCCGGTTTTAGAGTGAGAAGCTATGAAAATGGCTTTTTGGAAAAGTAAGAGAGAGAAAAGATCTTGAAAAAGTGATCCAAAAGTCGGATCTCGGATTTATATAAAAGTCTCCCTGCTCGAGCATCCAAACCCCCGCTCGAGCGTCACTCACAGACTCCCGCTCGAGCGTCAACAATCCCGCTCGAGCGGCGGATGCACACTCCCAGCATCTCGACACAACAGGTCTCCCGCTCGAGCTTCCAACTCCCTGCTCGAGCGGCACTCACACAATCCCGCTCGAGCGGCCAATTCCATGCTCGAGCGTCGAACACTGCACAGGAAATACTGGATGGGTGCAATTCCCGCTCGAGCGCCAAAACCCCCGCTCGAGTGAACAGGTCAAAATCTGGGCAACTAGTTTTGGTTTCTAAACTCAACCAACCTGTAACAAACCTGCCCAACACATCCTATAACTCACATACAAAGTAAGAAAGGATGTACACCAGGTAATAATCAACTAATATCATCCACGGACACATGTCCAGATCACTGTATAACAAGGGTAAATCCGGGATCGTTATACTCAACAATGGTGTTTTTGGAAAAGTATGAGAGAGAAGAAAAGTGAAAAAGTGATTTAAAATGACCCAGCGGATAACTCATATACGCATGACCCGCTCGAGCGGAGAACACAACGCTCGAGCGCCAGGAAGAAAATCTGGACACGCTCGAGCGTAATAAGGCCCGCTCGAGCGCCAAGACACAAGAATAAAGCACATCCGCTCTAGCGCGAAAACCAGTCTGCTCGAGCGTAGATTTCCCCCTCCCAGAACTTATACCCAGGAAGTACTCCCCGCTCGAGCGCCAACCGACCCGCTCGAGCGCTACCACTCGAGCGTAAACAGACCCGCTCGAGCGTAAAAATCACATCTGCAGAAGTTTTGCAGGACCACGAAATACTGAAGGTATGCAATCCCCGCTCGAGCGCAAGAAGACCCGCTCGAGCGGACCGCCTAAAAACTGAACAACAAGGAATTGAAACCAAGGCCTAACCAACCTGTAACAACCCTTCTCAAAACATCCTAAAATTAAAGGAAGTGGAATTAAAGGACCGTGCTCATGTGTTGACCCGCAAACAAGGCATAGAGCACGACTCTCGAAAGCAATGAAAGAGTGAACTAAGTGAGAGTGTGATAGAGGTATATGCACTAAAATCACATGTAAAATGATGCTATATCATGCAATCATCTCATACAAAGCATCTTAGAGGCCTTAAAACACAAAGCCAGTTAAGGCATTTACTCTATAGCTATGCAAAGGATGAGCCATATAACCAAGATCACTCAAAATAGAGTTAAGGCATGCTAAATCAGTAGCAAAAACATTCTGAGATAGAGTTCCAAAAGGGTAGAAAAACATGCTCACTTCTTAGGCCATCTACACATACAAATAAGATATGAGAGGGAGGGGGCCACCCTCTCCTATTTTGGACGTTCAAACCAACTTTTTGCCACTGAAATTCCCCTAGAATTCAGTAGTTAAAAGGTCAAGAAAGGTTTGTTCCAAAAGCTTTGAAAGATGGCTCAAAAAGCTTTACAAGCCAAGGAGCAAAGGGGGGAACCACCCTCTAACCAAACAAGGCTTAAACCACCATTTATAAACCTTAAAAATAGAGGTTTTCAGAGGCTAAAACCAGCCTCAAAGTAGCATACAAAGGTGACCAAACAATGAATTAAAACAAGGCTTAAAAGAGTTAAGTTCTTACCCTTGAAGCACAGCAACAAAATAGCAAGAACTTTGAGCTAAAACCACTCTAAGAAGCTCAAACAACGCCTCCAAGAACCTCAGTCTAAGGCGAAGGTATTTGGTCAAGGGGTTGAATGCAAATATGTAGAGAAAACTCACTTTCAAGCCTAAAATAGGTAGAGAGAGAGAGAGTTTTAGAGAGAGAGGGGTGAAATTTTTGCTCTTAAATTTCTGAACACCGAAAATGGGGGAGACACCTCCCCTTATATAGAAAATGCAAGCCAAAGTATGAATTCTAAATTTAACACTATATTTTTATTTTGAATATGAATGTTAATATGAATTTATTTGACAAAAATATATATAAGTTTGCCTTGTTTACCATTTGAACTGAACCCAAATGACTTTTAATCGAACGGAGTCCGAGCAACTGGGTATTTTATGGCCCTTTTAAGTTTACAGAACTAAGTTCGAACTGAACTCAAAAAATCGACGAATTTCAAAATGTGTTGAATTTTAACTAATTTATATAATAAGTCATTCTTCAATTGTTATTTATTGAGCCAAATATCAACCGAGTTCAAATAATTTGATTTGTTTTGCCATATTAACTTAAATAGATATGCCGAGAAAATGAATATTAAATTAAATAAGAAATTATAAATATAAAAAATTATCACGGCACTGTGGTGAATTTTTGAAATAAAATTTTCTTTTTTTTCATAGGTCTAATACTCAGATCTACAACATAATTTTCCTTATCTAAAAAATAACTAATGAGATTATGGAACAAAAATTATTAAAGGCACATAGAAAAATAATGATGAAAGAGGGAAGACAATGTGAATAGCAGATAACTAAAAGGTGCTTTGTTAATAATTAAGCAAGACAATAAATATTTCAGATGAATACGGAGATATGCAATTATCAATTTGCTTTTCATTTCCGCTCATACATGATTAAGCATGCATTTGGAAACTGTTGCAATTATTAATTGTTGCTTATCCACAATTTTGTAACCGTCACTAACCTAAAGTGTTGTAAACTACTTTGCAGGTTGCTTTCCCAGTCTTGGAGGTTTTGAAGATTCGTGAATTGCCTAACATAATAGAGATATGGGACAAGCAATTACTCATAGCCTTAGAAAAAGAATCAAAGTCCTTCTGCCAACTGGAAGATATGGAGGTTTTTAATTGTGAGAAATTGGTACATGTGGTCCAGTTCAATATGCTCCCACGACTGCAAAGTCTGAAAAAATTCATCGTGAATAATTGTCCAAAGATGGAAGCAGTAGTTTCGGAGAATGAAAAAGAAGGAGGAACCACCAGCAATGATATCATCCTGTTCTCTCAATTAACAACTCTTGAACTTTCTACGTTGGTGAGCGTTAAAAGTTTCTACAACTGGCCCACAAGATCTGAAGCACAACCCTTGTTCAACCACCAGGTTTGATTTTCCTAATTTAATTTGTTAACCCTTATGATGGGAAAGCGTCCACACAAAAAAAAATTAAAATTCCTTTTCAATTACAATTTTAAATTTGAAGCTTATTTGAATATTCTCTTTCTATCCAAATCCAAATCTGTAACGCCCTCAAAATACTACACATATCATACATTCATGACATCCATAAATTTAAGAGAATGAAGCACATTCCCATTCATCAAAGTATTCTTACAATAGATATTACATGTTGACAACAAAAGTAAATGCCCTATAGGCTTACAACTTTCCAAGTCAACACTTGGGTTCAACAAAAGTAGAGTTTTAACTCTTTACACAAAATAAGCCCATGGCTAGATATACATGTAAGACAAGAGATAATCACAAAAAAGATAAGCCTTCAGACTCTACAACCTCCCAAGCTAAGACCTTGGAGGCGGGATATCACCTGCACCTGAAAATGATGTCCCATATAGGGTGAGCCAACGCCCAGTAGAGATATGCTAAACATAATATGAGCATTTGATAAATGTTAACACTTGTAAATCCACTTACAATATCACCCAATTCCATGACAAATATGTCAATATTTCATTCCACTTTCCTTTACTTAACCAATTTTTAGTTTATGAATGTGGCTCAGAACCTGGCCAGACAATTTCCATGAGACCACAGCTCATGTTAAAACATTTCCAATATCAACATTTTAAATGAGATCACAACTCATATTAAAAACACTTCCATACTTCACAATTCACATGAGATCACAACTCATATTAAAAACACTTCCATACTTCAATAAGTACACAAATTCGCTGTACTGATGGACTCCATCCCCTATCTCCTCCCAAACAGGTTTGAGAGTCCATCCCCTATCTCTTCTCAAACCGTGGAGTACATCCCCTATCTCCTCCCACACAATGCAATGTATATAAACACTTATCATATACATGATCAATCAATACACATATTTGATGTATCATTCCAACCGTCAGATTCAATGACATATTCAACGTGATTAGTTTTAATTCACCTAATCATCATGCAGGGTCTACAACAAACAAGACTATTCTCCATCGATAGCCCAAAGCAATTATTTCTAAATAGATAATAAATGCATCAACAGATAAATTATCAACATTTTCAAAGGTGAGTGATTAATCAATCCAACTCCACCATTCATTCTCATACCTACTCAATTTCATTATTTCCAAGCCAATTTCACATATCCATTAATTTCATTAATTATACCAATGGCCCAATTTTACCCAACATAGGCATTTTCCCATTTTCTCAAAATTTGACTCAAAGGTCCAAACAACTTCAATAAACATTCATAACCTCAATTTAAAACCCATACACACATATATAGTTCAAATGGAACAAAACCCCTCTTTTCAATATTTCAAATCTCAAACCCTAACGTCCCAAATCAAACCATTTATACAAAATGCCCAACATCTAGGTTAAAGGTCATAAAAATGAGTAGTTATCCCTATCTCAAATGGAGAGACCAAATGGAGAAGTTGATGAAACTCGAAATGCTCCAAAACCAAAGATTTTCGGATTGAAATGTAGCCCACACCAAGCTCTACACTTTATGCAAAGGAACTATGGTAGAAGATCACTCAAACTAGATGATTTCTTAGAGAGAAGTTGTATGGTAGTGAGAGTAGCTCTCAAATTAGGTTTTGGGAAAGTTAGAGAGAGAGACAATGCCGAAAAAGTGATCAAAAAAGCTGCTTTTCGGACTGATATACAAACAGGTCCGCTCGAGCGTGGAACGCCTAGCTCGAGCATCAGACACAGACTCACGCTCGAGTGTGAAAAGCATCGCCTGAGCGTCGAATGCACACTTCCAGCAGTTTTGCAGGCGAAGGTCCCCGCTCGAAGTGGATGCTCGAGCGTCAAAATGCCCGCTTGAGCAGAGGAACAAAAGCAAAGGGCCCGCTTGAGCGTCAAAAGCCCCGCTCGAGCGTGAAGGCCAAAATCTGGGCATCAACTTTTGGTTTCAAAGCACAACCAACGTGTTTCAAACCTGCCCAACATAGCCCAAACTCAAATATAAAGAATTAAAGAACGGAGATGCGATAAAGACACAACATACACCCATGGAACCGAGTCCGGAATACAATAAACAAGGAAGGAAAAATCGGGATCGCTATAAAATCAATGTAAAATAACTTCAAGGTGGATATGCTAGGGGCCTACGATGGAAATTACAATATAACCCAAAAACAAATATGTATGAATTCTAAATTTAACACTATATTTTTATTTTTAATATGAATGTTAATATGATTTTATTTGACTAAAATATATATAAGTTTTTCTTGTTTACCATTTGAGCTGAACCTAAACAACTTTTAATCATACGGAGTCCGAGCAACTTGTATTTTATTGCCCTTTTAAGTTTATAGAACTGAGTTCGAACTGAACTAAAAAAATCGATGAATTTCAAAATGTGTTCAATTTTAACTTATTTATATAATAAGTCATTCTTCAATTGTTATTTATTGAGCCGAATATCAATCGAGTTCAAATAATTTGGTTTGTTTCGCCATATTAACTTAAATAGATATGCCGAGAAAATGAATATTAAATTAAATAAGAAATTATCAATGTAAAAAATTATCAAGGCACTGTGGTGAATTTTTGAAATAAATTTTTCTTTTTTTTCATAGGTCTAATACTCAGATCTACAACATAATTTGCCTTATCTAAAAAATAACTAATGAGATTATGGAACAAAAATTATTAAAGGCACATAGAAAAATAATGATGAAAGAGGGAAGACAATGTGAATAGCAGATAGCTAAAAGGTGCATTGTTAATAATTAAGCAAGACAATAAATATTTCAGATGAATACGGAGATGTGTAATTACCAATTTGCTTTTCATTTCCGCTCATACATGGTTAAGCATGCATTTGGAAACTGTTGCAATTATCAATTGTTGCTTATCCACAATTTTGTAACTGTCACTAACCTAAAGTGTTGTAAACTACTTTACAGGTTGCTTTCCCAGTCTTGGAGGTTTTGAAAATTTGTGAATTGCCTCACATAATAAAGATATGGGACAAGCAATTACTCATAGCCTCAGAAAAAGAATCAAAGTCCTTCTGCCAACTGAAAGATGTGGAGGTTTTTAATTGTGAGAAATTGGTACATGTGGTCCAGTTCAATATGCTCCCACGACTGCAAAGTCTGAAAAAATTCATCGTGAATAATTGTCCAAAGATGGAAGCGATAGTTTCAGAGAAAGAAAAAGAAGAAGGAACCACCAGTAATGATATCATCCTGTTCTCTCAATTAACAACTCTTGAACTTTCTAGGTTGGTGAGCGTTAAAAGTTTCTACCACTGGCCTGCAAGATCTGAAGCACAACCCTTGTTCAACCACCAGGTTTGATTTTCCTAATTTAATTTGTTAATCCTGGCCATGGGAAAGCGTGCACACAAAAAAAAAATTTAATTCCTTTTCATGAAAATTTTAAATTTGAAGCTTTTTTGAATATTCTCTTTCTATCCAAATCCAAATCAATGTAAAATAATTTCAAGGTGGATATGCTAGGGGCCTACGATGGAAATTACAATATTACCACAAAAAAATATGTAGGAATTCTAAATTTAACACTACATTTTTATTTTGAATATGATTGTTAATATGATTTTATTTGACTAAAATATATATAAGTTTGCCTCGTTTACCATTTGAGCTAAACCCAAACGACTTTTAATCGAACGGAGCCCGAGCAACTTGGTATTTTATTACCCTTTTAAGTTTACAGAACTGAGTTCGAACTGAACTCAAAAAATCGACGAATTTCAAAATGTGTTGAATTTTAACTTATTTATATAATAAGTCATTCTTCAATTGTTATTTATTGAGCCGAATATCAATCGAGTTTAAATAATTTGGTTTGTTTTTCCATATTAACTTAAATAGATATGCCAAGAAAATGAATATTAAATTAAATAAGAAATTATCAATATAAAAAATTATCAAGGCACTGTGGTGAATTTTTGAAATAAAATTTTCTTTTTTTTCATAGGTCTAATACTCAGATCTACAACATAATTTTCCTTATCTAAAAAATAACTAATGAGATTATGGAACAAAAATTATTGAAGGCACATATAAAAATAGTGATGAAAGAGGGAAGACAATGTGAACAGCTGATAACGAAAAGGTGTTAAGCAAGACAATAAATATTTCAGATGAACACGGAGATATGAAATTATCAATTTTCTTTTCATTTCTGCTCATACATGATTAAGCATGCATTTGGAAACCGTTGCAATTATCAATTGTTGCTTATCCACAATTTTGTAACTGTCACTAACCTAAAGTGTTGTAAACTACTTTACAGGTTGCTTTCCCAGTCTTGCAGGTTTTGACAATTTGTGAATTGCCTAACATAATAGAGATATGGGACAAACAATTACTCATAGCCTCAGAAAAAGAATCACAGTCCTTCTGCCAACTGAAAGATATGAAGGTTTTTAATTGTGAGAAATTGGTACATGCGGTCCACTTCAATATGCTCCCACGACTGCAAAGTCTAAAAATATTCATCGTAGATAATTGTCCAAAGATGGAAGCGATAGTTTCAGAGAAAGAAAAAGAAGAAGGATCCACCAGTAATGATATCATCCTGTTCTCTCAATTAACAACTCTTAATCTTTCTAGGTTGGTGAGCGTTAAATTTTTCTACAACTGGCCTACAAGATCTGAAGCACAACCCTTGTTCAACCAGCAGGTTTGATTTTCCAAATTTAAATTGTTAATCCTGGCCATGGGAAAGCGTGCACACAAAAAAATAAAAATAAAATTCCACTTCAATTAAAATTTTAAATTTGAAGCTTATTTGAATATTCTCTTTCTATCCAAATCCAAATCAATGTAAAATAATTTCAAGGTGGATATGAATGAATTCTAAATTTAACACTATATTTTTATTTTGAATATGAATGTTAATAAGATTGTATTTGACTAAAATATATATAAGTTTGCCTTGTTTACCATTTGAGCTGAACCCAAACAACTTTTAATCGAACGGAGTCCGAGCAACTGGGTATTTTATTGCCCTTTTAAGTTTACAGAACTGAGTTCGAACTGAACTCAAAAAATCGACGAATTTCAAAATGTGTTCAATTTTAACTTATTTATATAATAATTCATTCTTCAATTGTTATTTATTGAGCCGAACATCAATCAAGTTCAAATAATTTAGTTTGTTTTGCCGTATTAACTTAAATAGATATGCCGAGAAAATGAATATTAAATTAAATAAGAAATTATCAATATAAAAAATTATCAAGGCACTGTGGTGAATTTTTAAAATAAAATTTTCTTTTTTTTTATAGGTCTAATACTCAGATCTACAACATAATTTTCCTTATCTAAAAAATAACTAATGAGATTATGGAACAAAGATTATTAAAGGCACATAGAAAAATAATGATGAAAAAGGGAGGACAATGTGAAGGGTTGATAACAGAAAGGTGCTTTGTTAATAATTAAGCAAGACAATAAATATTTCAAATGAATACGGAGATAAGCAATTATCAATTTTCTTTTCATTTCCGCTCATACATGATTAAGCATGCATTTGGAAACTGTTGCAATTATCAATTGTTGCTTACCCACAATTTTGTAATAGTCACTAACCTAAAGTGTTGTAAACTACTTTACAGGTTGCTTTCCCAGTCTGGGAGGTTTTGAAAATTTGTGAATTGCCTAACATAATAGAGATATGGGACAAGCAATTACTCATAGCCTCAGAAAAAGAATCAAAGTCCTTCTGCCAACTGAAAGATATGGAGGTTTTTAATTGTGAGAAATTGGTACATGTGGTTGAGTTCAATATGCTCCCACGACTGCAAAGTCTGAAAAAATTCATCGTGAATAATTGTCCGAAGATGGAAGCGATAGTTTCGGAGAAAGAAAAAGAAGAAGGAACCACCAGTAATGATATCATCCTGTTCTCTCAATTAACAACTCTTAATCTTTCTCGGTTGGTGAGCGTTAAAAGTTTCTACAACTGGTCGACAAGATCTGAAGCACAACCCTTGTTCAACCAGCAGGTTTGATTTTCCTAAATTAATTTGTTAATCTTGGCCACCGGAAAGCGTGCACACAAAAAAAATTAAAATTCCTTTTCAATTACAATTTTAAATCTGAAGCTTATTTGAATATCCTCTTTCTATCCAAAGCCAAATCAAAGTAAAATAATTTCAAGGTGGATATGCTAGGGGCCTACGATGGAAATTACAATATTACCCAAACAAAAATATGTATGAATTCTAAATTTAACACTATATTTTTATTTTGAATATGAATGTTAATATGATTTTATTTGACTAAAATATATATAAGTTTGTCATGTTAACCATTTGAGCTGAACCCAAATGACTTTTAATCGAACGGAGTTTGAGCAACTTGGTATTTTATTGCCCTTTTAAGTTTATAGAACCAAGTTCGAACTGAAGTCAAAAAATCGGCGAATTTCAAAATGTGTTCAATTTTAACTTATTTATATAATAAATCATTCTTCAATTGTTATTTATTGAGCCGAATATCAATCGAGTTCAAATAATTTGATTTGTTTTACCATATTAACTTAAATAGATATGCCAAGAAAATGAATATTAAATTAAATAAGAAATTATCAATATAAAAAATTATCAAGGCACTGTGGTGAATTTTTGAAATAAAATTTTCTTTTTTTTCATAGGTCTAATAGTCAGATCCACAACCTAATTTTCCTTATCTAAAAAATAACTGATGAGATTATGGAACAAAAATTATTAAAGGCACACAGAAAAGTAATGATGAAAGAGGGAAGACAATGTGAACAGCAGATAACTAAAGGGTGCGTTGTTAATAATTAAGCAAGACAATAAATATTTCAGATGAATAGAGAGATATGCGATTATCAATTTGCTTTTCATTTCCGCTCATACATGATTATGTGTGCATTTGGAAACTGTTGCAATTATCAATTGTTGCTTATCCACAATTTTGTAACAGTCCCTAACCTAAAGTGTTGTAAACTACTTTACAGGTTGTTTTCCCAGTCTTGGAGGTTTTGAAAATTTGTGAATTGCCTAACATAATAGAGATATGGGACAAGCAATTACTCATAGCCTCAGAAAAAGAATCAAAGTCCTTCTGCCAACTAAAAGATATGGAGGTTTTTAATTGTGAGAAATTGGTACATGTGGTCCAGTTCAATATGCTCCCACGCCTACAAAGTCTGAAAAAATTGATCGTGAATAATTGTCCAACGATGGAAGCGGTAGTTTCGGAGCAAGAAAAAGAAAAAGGAACCACCAGTAATGATATCATCCTATTCTCTAAATTAACAACTCTTAATCTTTCTAGGTTGGTGAGCGTTAAAAGTTTCTACAACTGGCCTAGAAGATCTGAAGCACAACCCTTGTTCAACCACCAGGTTTCATTTTCCTAATTTAATTTGTTAATCCTGGCCATAGGAAAGCGTGCACAAAAAAAAATTAAAATTCCTTCTCAGTTAAAATTTTAAATGTGAAGCATATTTGAATATTCTCTTTCTATCCAAATCCAAATCAATGTAAAATAATTTCAAGGTGGATATGCTAGGGCCCTACGATGGAAATTACAATATTACCTGAAAGAAAATAAGTATGAATTCTAAATTTAACACTATATTTTTATTTTGAATATGAATGTTAATTTGATTGTATTTGACTAAAGTACATATAAGTTTGCCTTGTTTACCAATTGAGCTGAACCAAAATGACTTTTAATCGAACGGAGTTCGAGCAACTGGGTATTTTATTGCCCTTTTAAGTTTACAGAACTGAGTTCAAACAGAACTTAAAAAATCGGCGAATTTCAAAATGTGTTCAATTTTAACTTATTTATATAATGATTCATTCTTCAATTGTTATTTATTGAGCTGAATATCAATCGAGTTCAAATAATGTGGTTTGTTTTGCCATATTAACTTAAATAGATATGCCGAGAAAATGAATATTAAATTAAATAAAAAATTATCAAGGCACTGTGGTGAATTTTTGAAATAAAATTTTCTTTTTTTTCATAGGTCTAATACTCAGATCTACAACATAATTTTCCTTATCTAAAATATAACTAATGAGATTATGGAACAAAAATTATTAGAGGCACATAGAAAAATAATGATGAAAGAGGGAAGACAATGTGAACAGCTGATAACAGAAAGGTGCTTTGTTAATAATTAAGAAAGACAATAAATATTTCAGATGAATACGGAGATATGCAATTATCAATTTGCTTTTCATTTCCGTTCATACATGATTAAGCATGGATTTGGAAACTGTTGCAATTATCAATTGTTGCTTATCCACAATTTTCTAACTGTCACTAACCTAAAGTGTTGTAAACTACTTTACAGGTTGCTTTCCCAGTCTTGGAGGTTTTGAAAATTTGTGAATTGCGTCAAATAATAGAGATATGGGACAAGCAATTACTCATAGCCTCAGAAAAAGAATCAAAGTCCTTCTGCCAACTGAAAGATATGGAGGTTTTTAATTGTGAGAAATTGGTACATGTGGTCCAGTTCAATATGCTCCCACGACTGCAAAGTCTGAAAAAATTCATCGTGAATAATTGTCCAAAGATGGAAGCGATAGTTTCGGAAAAAGAAAAAGAAGAAGCAACCACCAGTAATGATATCATCTTGTTCTCTCAATTAACAACTCTTAATCTTTCTAGGTTGGTGAGCGTTAAAAGTTTCTACAACTGGCCTACAAGATCTGAAGCACAACCCTTGTTTAACCACCAGGTTTGATTTTCCTAATTTAATTCGTTAATCTTGGTCACGGGAAAGCGTGCACACAATAAAAAAATTAAAATTCCTTTTCAATTAAAATTTTAAATTTGAAGCTTATTTGAATATTCTCTTTCTATCCAAATCCAAATCAATGTAAAATAATTTCAAGGTGGATATGTTAGGGGCCTACGATGGAAATTACAATATTACCACAAAAAAAGTAAGTATGAATTCTAAATTTAACACTATATTTTTATTTTGAATATGAATGTTAATATGAATTTATTTGACAAAAATATATATAAGTTTGCCTTGTTTACCATTTGAACTGAACCCAAATGACTTTTAATCGAACGGAGTCCGAGCAACTGGGTATTTTATGGCCCTTTTAAGTTTACAGAACTAAGTACCAACTGAACTCAAAAAATCGACGAATTTCAAAGTGGGTTCAATTTTAAATTATTTATATAATAAGTCATTCTTCAATTGTTATTTAGGGAGCCGAATATCAATGGAGTTCAAATAATTTTGTTTGTTTTGCCATATTAACTTAAATAGATATGCCGAGAAAAAGAATATTGAATTAAATAAGAAATTATCAATGTAAAAAATTATCAAGGCACTGCGGTGAATTTTTGAAATAAAATTTTCTTTTTTTTCATAGGTCTAATACTCAGATCTACAACATAATTTTCCTTATCTAAAAAATAACTAATGAGATTATGGAACAAAAATTCTTAAAGGCACATAGAAAAATAATGATGAAAGAGGGAAGACAATGTGAATAGCAGATAACAAAAAGGTGCATTGTTAATAATTAAGCAAGACAATAAATATTTCAGATGAATACGGAGATGTGCAATTACCAATTTATTTTTCATTTCCGCTCATACATGGTTAAGCATGCATTTGGAAACTGTTGCAATTATCAATTGTTGCTTATCCACAGTTTTGTAACTGTCACTAACCTAAAGTGTTGTAAACTACTTTACAGGTTGCTTTCCCAGTCTTGGAGGTTTTGAAAATTTGTGAATTGCCTCACATAATAGAGATATGGGACAAGCAATTACTCATAGCCTCAGAAAAAGAATCAAAGTCCTTCTGCCAACTGAAAGATATGGAGGTTTTTAATTGTGAGAAATTGGTACATGTGGTCCAGTTCAATATGCTCCCACGACTACAAAGTCTGAAAAAATTCATCGTGAATAATTGTCCAAAGATGGAAGCGATAGTTTCAGAGAAAGAAAAAGAAGAAGGAACCACCAGTAATGATATCATCCTGTTCTCTCAATTAACAACTCTTGAACTTTCTAGGTTGGTGAGCGTTAAAAGTTTCTACAACTGGCCCACAAGATCTGAAGCACAACCCTTGTTCAACCACCAGGTTTGATTTTCCTAATTTAATTTGTTAATCCTGGCCATGGGAAAGCGTGCACACAAAAAAGAAATTAAAATTCCTTTTCAATTAAAATTTTAAATTTGAAGCTTATTTGAATATTCTCTTTCTCTCCAAATCCAAATCAATGTAAAATAATTTCAAGGTGGATATGCTAGGGGCCTACGATGGAAATTACAATATTACCCAAAAAAAAAAAGTATGAATTCTAAATTTAACAGTATATTTTTATTTTTAATATGAATGTTAATATGATTTTACTTGACTAAAATATTTATAAGTTTGCCTTGTTTACCATTTGAGCTGAACCCAAACGACTTTTAATCGAATGGAGTCCGAGCAACTGGGTATTTTATTGCCCTTTTAAGTTTGCAGAACTGAGTTCGAACTGAACTCAAAAAATCGAAGAATTTCAAAATGTGTTCAATTTTAACTTATTTATATAATAAGTCTTTCTTCAATTATTATTTATTGAGCTGAATATCAATCGAGTTCAAATAATTTGGTTTTTTTTGCCATATTAACTTAAATAGATATGCCGAGAAAATGAATATTAAAGTACATAAGAAATTATCTGTATAAAAAATTATGAAGGCACCGTGGTTGTAATGCCCTCAAAAAAAATAATATTAAACCCATCAATATAGACATGCATTGATATATATAAAAGCTCCACATTCTTCTATTCAACAGAGTTTCATTACAAAAAGTATTACATGTTAACAATAAAGGCAAATGCCCTAAAGGCTTACAGCTTTCCAAGCTAACACTTAGTTATAACAAAAGAGTACTAACTCATTTACACATTAAGCCCTTGGCTTGAATATACATGTAATACATCAAAAGGGAAAAGACAACAAAAGTCTGCCCGCCTCTAGCCTCCCAAACTACGCCCTTGGAGGTGGCATGCTACCTGTACCTGAAAATGATGTTCCCATATAGGGTGAACCACAGCCCAGCAGAGATATACTAAACCAACTATGAGCAATGACTAAAAGATTAGCAGTTGATAGATGGCCAACACCGATACATCCGCATATATCACGTCACAATTTCATAACATACGAGTCTATGTCACTTTCCATTTTCCATCCTTATTTAATAGATAAGCATACTAGCTATATCAACACATCAACAGATAAACATCTTACGCATCAACAGATAAGCATATAAGCTTTATCCACACTTCACAAGACAAGCATATGAGCGGTATCTACACTTCACTAGACAAGCATATGAGCTGTATCTACACTTAAAAGAGATCTTGAATATCATTCATGCAAAACCTTTATTACTGGTATCATTCACTGAGTATCCAAGCTCACCCTCTTTATATATATGTAGGTGATGA